TAGATAAATGGTAGAATAAATTTTTTGAATTGAACTTTTTCAGATATAGAATAACCTAAGGGTTGCATATAATCTAGTAGTTACTTCACAAGCTATATCTACACAACTATGTCCACAATTGTAACAAAGTACGTTGCAGAGCACAAACTCAGTAAAGATATGAGTGATGAAGAACTTAGTCAGCATGCTTCAGAATTACTCAAGCTTTTAACAGATAAACTGAAAAGAGACAAGGGTCGTCAGCGCTTCTAAAAAGTATATAATTTTAGCAGAGAGCAGACATTTGTACTAATTTCCAATCAGAGAATTTGCTGAAGTAGAAGTTGGGTAATCTCCAAAGAAAGAGGGGATATTAATATATGTCAAGTATCTGACATCATCTCAGATAGAGAAACTATCGAAAGTATAGCCCAGCATATTGTTCAAGATAATCTTGATAAAAAAGAAGTAAAGGTGATAGCTAAGGCTTTAACTATAACGCTTCCTAACCCTGTTGCCACCACATCTCGTCTTAGTAGGCTTCAAAGAGAATTGCGAAAACTTAATGCCTCAGAAATAATAATCTCTGCTATATTAGACGAAAAAACAATCTGCGCATCTAATAAGATTCAAAAGAAGCATAGGGATCAACGTGAAAATGAAGGGATTGATTTTCCAGATCACTTCTCGTTAGAATCAGTTAAGGAGAGACTCAATTTCTATGATGTGTCTAACACACCTGATGTGCAAGTCCTAGCTGATATAATGATAATACTCTACGTCCATCCCACTAAAATTAAAGACTTGCGCATATCTAACAGAAGTGTAACTGAATACGCAAAAAATTGAGGTCAACAGGATAATCCTCGAATATTTAGATTGTTAGAAAGAGATAAAGAGCGGCTAAACTTCTCCTTACTTGGATTCAGAATGCAATTTCTTCTGAACAGTTGAGAGATCCAGAAGTGTCAGGAGCTAAATGGTTTAATACATTTCTGAAAAAAATAGATTTCTTCCTGAAACTGGTAAATCACTTCTTCCTAGCTATTTACGCAAATTAGGGGTAGTATTTGCAGTCATATTGAATAATGTGAAGAATTTATCAGATGCTATGATCATCACCAGTCAAGCCCTTTGACATTCGCTAGACAACCATTCCTCCCCAACGCAATACTATACAATAGTCAATTTTCGAAAAAGAGAATAGCCTTATGATTAGGTAATGGCATTTGAACTCTTCAATAAAAACTAATCACATATATTAGTTAGAGGATCAGATATTATCTTTAAATTTATTTTTTCGTTCGCCTAAGATATAGCATATATAAAATATCATGAAAATGATAACTGATCAAAATCATTCATCTGATATATCCAGTGAGCAGGAAGTTATCAGATATACGAAGAAATTAGCCTAGATATTTAGACTAAATGAGCAAAATGCAGAAGTATATAGTGCGCTTTCTGGCGAAAATAAGGCACTAAAGAAACAATTAGAAGATTATCATTCCCAACATAACATTTTAGAAAAGAGAGTAAAAAGATTAGAGAGAGACGTAAAGTCTTTAGAAACTGAATTAGAAGATCTGGACGAATGTGTGGATAGGGAAACTGTAGTTGACTTAATACAAGAAATAGTGTCCTTGCTGATTGATAAAAAAAGATAAAGATTTCTCCTATTTGTTTGAATCTTCTGAAGAATTTGATTCAGTTGAGACGATAAGAGAGTGAAAAGCTATTCCTCATAAGCAACAAAGAAGGGCACAGCTAAAAAGAAGGTCTGGAACAATAATCATCAGCTCAGAAGAATTTGCTAAGCCACAGATTGTGTAATAATAACCTTATTTTTTGATTGAAAAAACTTCTAACTATATAAAAATGCATATAGTTAATTTGCTAGAACAACTTCTGCCAGAATTAATACCATTTATTCTAAAGGATCTTTCAAACTAGGATCTAAAAATTTTCGCAGTATAAATGATATATAGGCAAAGAAGGTAAATCTTGAATGGTCTAAAAGAAAGACTCTTTTCGATTTCTGTATTATGTCATTGGTTCAAGGTGAAAATACAGTCAAAGATTTTTATTCGAAGCTGAAAGAGTGTAACAAGAGTTTAGGCTATAATAAAAATTTCCTTAAATATGTATTATTAAAAGGATTATCATCTGAAAATGCATTTAAAGCTCTTATGGATAGTTTACAAGCATTTACGTTAGATGAGATACTAGAAAGACTTATCTTAGAGCAATGATTGCATAATTTTCTTGAAGGTATTTTGTTATTTTTTTGTTTAAAGATACAACATATAAACAGAATATTTAGCCAGAGGCACTTCGCATGACGCAATCAAGCATCTTTTATTTACCAGAACTACTAGAACAGATTTTACATTTTTTAGTGTTAGATAAATCTCTACCCCGCTTTATTTGTTTTCCGATTATGGTACAGATGTGGTACCCTTTTCTATAGAGACGCATTGAGCTAAAGGGAAAGACTTATATCCTAAACAATCTTTTCTAAATGATTATAATTATTGTGCAAAGAATCATCTTCAATTAAATAAATTCATAAGGATAGAATGTGCAAAGAATCTCTCTCGATTGAAAAAATTCATAAAGCTAGTATATAAGAAGCAAACACCAGTTTATTGCTCAAATGTAACTCATCTCAAAATATCATACTTCCATTCACTTTTAGATAAAAAAATCATAAGCATTGTATATTCATGTCTAAATATAACCCATTTGAGTTTCATAAATAGCATAGGATTTAGTAATAGAGTATTAGAACTGATAGTGGGTTCATACCCAAATCTGAAGTATCTCAAACTGTGTGATGATCAGTCAGGTGGCTTTACAAGTTTCTATGTTTGAGTAGTAGATGATAAAGGTCTATGAAGGATCGCAAAGATATGCCATAAATTAAAATATTTAAATATTGCCTATTGTACAGAGATTACTGAATATTCAATTTGTGATATTATTCGTTTCTCTCTAAAGCTTCGATATCTTGACATTTTCTTTTGTAAAATTACTAATATGACTATTAAAGAAGTTGCTAGATCATGTCTTAATTTAAAATATATTAATTTGAAAAGGTGTAATAATATTAGCAAAGAAGCTGTAGATCAGCTTGTTTCACTTAATCCAAATATCCATATTGAGAATTACTAGGATCCAAATGATATTCAAGCTGAGATAAAGCGAGTGATAGAGCTAATATCAACACAGTTTCCAGTTGCTAATATTAGAACTCAGTTTCACCAGGGATTCTGATAACTTAATTCTAACATATCTATAATAGTTGATAGATTACTCAACGATCAAGCAGGATGGTGGAACTCTACTGATCTAACTAATCTGGAGCAGTGATCATCAGCTGTTGCCAAGAGAATTTTGTGAAAATTTTGATAAAGATTACTGCTATTCTGATTCAGAATCTTCTAGCTCTAAAACTGAATCAGAGTCTGAATAATCTAGTTAGTCCAAAGCTTTGTATTTATTTTTTCGATTAAAGATATAGTATATAATACACATTATTTAACCAGAAAGTGCTTCACATGATGCATACAAGTGTTTTTAATATACAGAAATTACTAGAACATATTTTACATTCTTATTGATAGATAAATCTCTATACCCCACTCTATTTGTTTGCCGATTGTGATACAGATACAGTATTTCTATTCTATGAAAACACGTTGAGTTAAATGGTGTGGATGATCAAACTCAATTAAAAAGATTTTTAAAAATAGTATCCAAAGGAAGGTGTAAACCAATTTATAGCTTGAAATTAACTCATATTAAAATATCAGACTATCAGCTTTTAAATAAAAAATCAAAAGTATTGTACACAGGTTTCAAAATATAATTTATTTAGATTTTGAAGAAAGTATGGAGTCTGAATCTGTTGGAAAAGTTCTAAAGCTAATAGCAGAATCATACCCCAATTTGAAGTATCTTAATATATCTGTTTTAAGTAATTTATTTCAATGAAAAATAGATAAAGGTCTAACTGCAATCGCAGATTCATGTCATAAATTAGAATGTCTAAATATTTCTAATCGTACAGAGTTTTCTGAAATATCAATTTGCAATGTTATTCATTCTTTTCTAAAGCTCTAACATCTTGATATTTCCTTTTGTAAAATTACTGATATAACGATTAAAGAGATTGCTAGTTCGTGTTTTAATTTAAAGTATCTTAATTTAAGAGGATATTACAATGTTAGTAAAGAAGCTGTAGATAAGTTAAATCTAAATATCTACGTAGAGAATTTTGTGAAAATTTCAATACCTTCTAGTTTTATTAAAATATTTACTTATGAAATTTTAGCTCAGGATCTTTAGAGCTCTTTAGATCTAATTATATGAGATAGTCAGAATTCAGTCCTATATCAGATACATAGATAACCTAATTTTAATAAAATTGCGATAGTTTTCGATGATGTACTGACTGACTAATCTAACTAGTCTAGAGCATGTTAAGAGGTGTTTTACATGATCATTAATTAGATTTTTTTATTCACTGCGGAGCAGATTTTATTGAAGAGATATCAGAACAAAAATTACGAAGTTTTTTATCATACAAAATGCTAGAAGAATTAAAAGATGTACAGTATTTCACAAATATAAAGTTAACAGTGCAGATATAATGAGCATTAAGCAATTCAATCCAGGTATGTGGTATTTTTTCTTGACATTATTTGGACGAACCAAGTTTGCTAAAATTTCTTGGCAAAGTGATTGAAGATGGATTAACATTTTTTCATAATAGTTTCTAATGCGTTGTGAATTTATTTCATCTGTATTTCATGTATTCGGAAGAGTTGATTATACTATAACTGGGATGGAGAATTTTTTTGTATTACTGAGGGAAACCATGAAATGTTAAGATTGGTTACCTTCAAAATATAAAACAACTCGAGAGTTCCTTCTATATGAACAAAAAGAAGCAAATTGCAGACGAAGCATTTAAGGCCGAAGATTATAACTATTTATATAGAATTGTATTGACTAGTATGAGAAAAATTTTCTATTATGGAGTGGATTTATAGGCAATTCTTGTCATGATCTTTGTTTTGGCTTTGCTAATTATTTGATTTATTTTTAGGTGAGAAATCAGAAACTAAATCAGAGTCTGAGGGAAAATATAAAACAGGTAATTATTATAGTCGTAGAGTTATTGAAAGATAGGATGTTAGTATATGATAAATCTAAAAATAAAAAGCGATGCGTACAAGAAAAAATTACTAAGAAATAGTAAGTAGATAGCATTCGCTTCATATGTATTTTTTTATATTGTATCAATAAAGCAATCAGGTCTAAATGGTTTTTTTACGATAATTAATTTTTGTATGATAATATTTTTTTAAATTCACTTTTGAACTTATCTATATTTTATTTAAAAAAATGGCAAATACACAGTCTAAGATTGGTTCTTTGAAAGAACTAAATTCAAAGCTCTTCTTAAAAAAGAGAAAGCTGAAATTCCTGAACTTAAAAAGAAATATGCTGAGATCGAGGCTGAAAATTTGAAGTTAAGACAGGTTATAGAAGAGAGCATTGAGCTTAAAACCAGGTTTGAAGAGTTGGAGAAAAAAAATAAAATGAATACTGCTAAGCTTACTGCTGAGAATATTGAGCTTAAAGATAGAGTCACGAAATTAGAACAGAGGTAGACTCAGGTTATTACTAATAAATTGAGAATATCTTCTACAAAAAATATTCCGCAACCTATCAATGAGGATGCTAGTTTACACTATACTATCGCATCTAAAGAAACTATTATTCCTGACCCTCACCTGAAATAGAATATAACCGGACAAAATCTGAAGAATCAGAGATTCAATACTCTGCATCACCCTCTGCAAACTCTTTATTGGAAGATGATACATCTAAACAAATGCCAGAAGACACATCTGATATATCTGATATCACTTCAAATTCTGGCGTACGTTAGAAGTTGAAGACCTGTAAATCATTGAAAGACAAGATGATGGATGAAACCTTGGATGAGACACATAAGAAAAGAGTTAGCAATTCGATCAGACAAAAAAAGCGTGAGGAGAAGCTTCAGTATAAATCACCTAACCAGGAGGCACTCTTGATTTCCTAGAATACTACATTTACTTCCCATGAGTGAAAAAACGAACAGGGCTTAATTTGAGAAATGATTTCATCTAAGAAAGAAAAGCATGTGACTGAAATTTCAGCAAACTTGGTTTACCCAAATAATGAAACTTCAATAACTCTATCTATTCTAGCCATGTTTCACTTACCACCAGATAATGGAGATATTATTAGTTTATATAAAAATGCATGTGATGCAAAAATAAGTATAATCAAAGCTAATAGAGAAGAAACGTTATATTGGTATTTCTATGCTAGAGAATTCAAAAGTATGTATAAAGATTTTATGGTCAGCAATAAAGTTAGGGAAAAGAAGACGAAAAGTCAGGTATACGATTTCATTGTAAAACAGTTACCAGACACCAAACGCAAAACTTTATGTAAGTAGACACAAAAAGCTTTAAGGATTGACAATTTATTCGAAAGAATAGGAATGGACAAGATTCAATACATAAAAATATATAGTGCAAATACAATTTCAAAATTTACTAATACTCAAATTCAAACGATTATAGATTATTTCACTGAAAAGCCTAATATAGAATTTGCCAATGATCCTGAAAAACAAGATAACTCTATTACCGATTCTGAAGAAGCATCAGAGACGCAAACGAAACCCTTAATTTCAGCTGAGAATTATGAAGATATATATTTTGATAATGATCTCATACTTCAGTCAGTGAAAGAAATAAATGAAGAGATTGCTTCACAATTAGATAGGATATATGATGATAGTAACTGACCAGAGGCGCTAAAGCATAGTCATGATAATAATTCTAAAGAAGAAGTACTAGATGATTTGGATGATGAATATAATGAATACGGTGGATATAGTGGATATGATAGAGGTTATTATTATCGTGATGAAAGATATGAAAGGAAAGTCTCGCTAATGATGAGTCCTATTATATCTCTAGTATCCGCTTGCTGAGCCAGAATGATAAAGTCAAGTGCTAAAAGCAGGAGAATTATTGGATGAATTACATACTCACTTAGATTAAATTATTGTATCTTTTTTTTAAATCACATGAGTAGTTTAAATGGTCATATAGAGCGATCACCTAAAATATGTAGAAGATATTTGGTAAAATTCTTGACAAAGAATAAGGGTTGAAAGTCGATTATTTTTCTCGTGTGGGAGGTGATTGATGTGGATTTCTCTGGAATCTACATACTAATTTTTATTTAATACAGGGTAATTTAGAAAATCTGGATCGGTTAATTATTAGGCAATATGATTTTCAGCGAAAATCTAAGAACTTTTATGTTTTGCGATAATTGTAGCTCTTAACTGCAGAGAAATTATAATTATAAAAATACTGGATATATTGGAGGCATCTGGTAGGAGAAACAAATAAAAAAAAGTAATATATTTCATTTTATCCTCAAAATATTCTAACAAGTAATCTGCTTCAAATCAATCAAATCAATTTTTTATTGAGCATAAAACTATCAAAATATCTTTTGTGATTTCTAAATCAACAAATACCTAATAAACTTCTCCAATAAAAAATAATTTCATTCACCTTCGACGCTATCTTATTCCTCATTTTTATTGTTTTCATCGCAATTTATGAGATGCTTCTCCAGGGTATCTTAACAGTGAAGACATTTCGAGACATTTTTTTGAAAAATGCCATAATATATATATTTCTTGTAGGGGTGTTCTTATTCCTACGCAAATATCTATTATCGACTCCAGCAAGATCACAGATTGCTAAACTTGAAAAATCGATATTGGCGTTAAATAATGAAATACAAAAAATAAAAGGAGAGGCGGAATGGGATTGTGTATCGCAAGATAAGGAAATTTTCATTGTTCTGTCTTTTTGCATATATTTTCAAAGGTAAAGAGGTACTAACTTTATCATCTATCATTAGGTTCATCTCGATTCTCTTCAGGCTGTGTATCTACCAGTCAATATTTAAAATATCCTAATGAAGTCTAAACTTTATAAGTGGAATTCACAGCCCTATTTAATCGAAGAAGAAGAAGGAAGGGACGCTTTTACACACAATTATACAATATAATTTCTCAAAAAATCTGTCTAAGCTCTGCGACTTTAGCGAGTTTCTACTGCCATCAAAAAATTCTGAGGACTACTTCCTTAGATAAAATTGAAGAATGAGTTGAAAGAGAAGGGAGGAGGGATTCTAGTAATAGCGGTATTAGTAGTAATAATAGCGATAATGGTTGCAATTAGTGGAGCCAAAGAATAGAAGCAGTCATTGTCTTTTGAGATGGGCTTTAAGTCTGACTATAAGTGTTCTAATATATCAGACTAATTGCTTAATGCAACTATATGATATTTAGAATACGTTCTTCCATACAACTTCGCAAAAATTTTATTATCATGACATTCACTTTTTTTGCTTAACGGATCGGTCATATTACATAATGATAAATAAAGATTTTACTTTGAGTTTTTTGAATGTGTTTCGCATTTTACAAGTGATATTTATTAATTATTAATACAGCTATAATTGTAAAAACAAACAGTTAGAACATTAAAATACTATTCTACAGTTGCAAAAAAGTTGCAGGAAAGTTACGCAAAGTGCCGAGATCTAATTGGGAGTCAGAGTAATACAGAATTTTTATGTGATATCATATTTGGCTAATTCCCGTTAATTATGAGAAATCCATAAAATTAGCATATAGACCCTATATAAATCCCAATATGCTTGTAATCAAATAAAAATGAATCTGGTATTTTATTATAATATACTTGCTATAAATCACTATAAGTTATTAAAATTGCTAAAAACGCTATAAATTACTAAACTGCTATAAATTATCTATATCCGTAAAATGGTTAAATTTAATGATTTGAGTCTTGTAGTAGTATAAGCGTTAAACAACCTGCAATATAGGTATAATGGTAAAACACCAGAAATATGGTATTCTCGTGTTCGTTCTCTATTTAAGAAACTTCTTGAATATAACCCAAAATACTTTTCAAAAAATGGATTTATCCAAATGGTTGAAAGGGAATATATAGATGGGAAATTTAAAGCTAAGAGACGCTCATTTAATATTTATTGTACTGTATGCGACTCCTTGGTAATTATTCGTAAAAATACTATCGAATGTGCTAATGATCACCTGAATAAATGTATTACCGCTAAAATTCATTAAAATCATGTATAAAGGAATACAAAAAAAGGAGAAAAAGTGGCATCGCTTAGTCCTGATGAGATTGAAGAGATTTATCTAACATATTCAGTTATATATAGTAGAGGCTTGAATCATTATGGTTATAATTATTCACATGAAGGTAGGAAAACTGTTGCATATCGCTTATTTAACAGTGCTAAACTTATCCAACAGGCTTGGCAGAGTTACAGGATGAGACCCAAATCGTTGACAAAAATAATTTGGAAGACGGTGAGGAATGATGGTACTCCTGATGATAAGAAGTATTTAGGTATAACTCCTCATATTGACTGGATATTTGATAAGAAATATCAATTATATTTGAGATTAGCTAATGTAACATATGATATTGTTTTAAAATATTATACCAGCGAGGCTATAAAGTCATTAGAGGTTCGGATTGGTCTAACCAGCTAAAGTGGTTACAGAATCCTGAATATTATCATATTGATAAAGATAACATTGAATATCTCAT